AAAAATGCTTGAAGTCATCTTTTTAAGATAAATATTACAGGAGGTAAATTGATTTAAAAAAATCTTATTTTCTATTTCACTTGGGTCTGTCCTCAATAACAGTTATGGGTTTTGCACACACTGGTGGATGTGGACAGGCTTATTTTATTGCTGCTTAGTTTTGGAAGCAAGTGAAGTATCAACTTGTGCAGGGTAAGATCAAATCACACAGGGAGGGAATCCGCCTAAGGTCAAGAGATCCCCCCACTTCAAACTGCAGTTCAATACAGAAACGAGAAAATAATTTCAGCTTATTTCAGGTAAAGTTCTTTTTTCCGGTTTCAGCCAAGGCTGTAAAACTGAGTGCCATTTGGTATGTGCCCTAGATGGCAGAAGAAAGAGACGCCACAGAGCTTTAGCTGCTCAGAATAAGTCTTGTAAAAGCTTTATTCCAAAGGCTCAGTGTGATTGAAAAAACCCAAAGAACCAGGAGAGTGACTTTGTCCCTCGGTATTCTTGATATTTTTAATTCTGAAGTCAGTTGAATCCAAAGCATCTGGGCTCATGTCCCTATTTGCCTCTTTGATAGTGCGGAACAAAATAGCCCTTAAAAATCAGAGTCATTTTAAATGCAGTCAGGCATCTGTCAGTACCATAATAGCAGATTTGGGCCAGCATTTTAACACGGGTGATTAGGAATCTGGTTCTTTTTGCCTGGCCAAAATCTCCCATGGCAGGTGGTCAGTGGGAACTTGGTCCATGACGGCTCTCAGGCGATTCTATTTATGTGTCTGTGTTAGATAATAACCCCAAAGCCATGGTCACTGTGACTCTGCCAGACTAGAATCCAAAACAAAGCACAAAGATGATGACCACCAGGCTCATTTCCAAGGAACCCCCCCACAATTCTGCATAAGCATCAGACTAGTTGTGATTGGCCTTGTCATTTGTTTCTGGAATCAGCCTGTCTGTGTCACAGTGGATTGCATCTGTTTTCTCCCTGAAGCTGGAAGAGAAGGCCAGTATTCACTGGAGGGCAGCAGCCGAATACACTCACCCTAAACTAAGTCACATCCTGCACTCAGAAGGCTTTCTCAGCAAGGTGGTAGAAGAGGTTCCTGCTGTTAGAACTTAGTGATGAAATTACTCTTTCACATATATAAACACACACAACGATTGAAGCCATTATAAGAACTCCCAGTTACATTTTTTTCATTTGATGCTTATAACCCACCTGGAGGTGTAGGAGAGGTTCAATTCATTATTTCCATTTTTTAGGTAAAGGAAGATGTTAGAAGAGTTAAGTGATTTACTTAAGATCACTGTTATGGTTTGGATGTGAGGTGTCCCCCAAAAGCTGACATGCAAGAAGATTCAGAGGAGAAATGATTGGGATATGAGAGCCTTGACTCAGTCAGTGAATTAATCCCTTGACAGGATTCACTGAGTGGTAACTGAAGGCCAGTAGGATGTGGGTGGAAGAGGTGGGTCACTGAAAGTGTGCCTTTAGGGTATATATTTTGCTTCTGGAGAGTGGAGTCTCTCTCTCTCTGCTTCCTAATCATCATGTGAACTGCTTCCCTCCACCATATTCTTCCTCCCTAATGTTCAGCCTCATCTTGAGCCCTGAGGAATGGAGCAGGCTGTCTAGGGACCTCGGAAACCGTGAGTCCTTGAATAAACTTTTCCTCCTCTCAGATTGTTCTGGTCAGGTCTTTTAGTCACAGCAGTGAAAAAAAAAAACTGACTAAGACAATCACCCAGCCAATAAGAAGATCCAAGAACTGGTCTCAGCTTTGTCATCTCTCCTCACATTCTATCTCATGTACAAGTTGATGAAAAGGTGCCTGGGTAAAAGCATTTAAGACTCAGTACATTTTGAATCACAACACTCAGCTGTGGCTGTCATGTTACGCATTTTACTGTATTGATTTTAGCCATTCAGCATTCCCAATATTGCAGACTTAAAAGTAAAATTTAGAGTCCTACGATGTTTGCATTGCTTATAGGGCTGGTTTTTTTCCTGGAGAAGGGTCTAATGAGGATGCCCATTTTCAGGTATCTCAGGTCAGGTGTTTAAAGGCTGGATGGCATGAAGTTTGGGATTGGATCATGATGTCGTAGCAGCAGCTTTCTGGTTCAGTTAATAAGAAAATGTGTACATCTTGCCTATGACGTTTGAAGAGCTGTGCCGAGTTGCTAAGAATAAGGATTTTATTTGAAGACCTTACATCTCCACATCATATAACCAGCTTCTTGGGGCAACTATTTGTTAGTGGCAAAGGGAGGTACAGGTAGCCCTTAGTTTAGGAGGAGAGACCATATGCATTGAGGTGATTTGGAAAATGTTTTTTAGATTTTGTAGTAGACATAAAATCTAGATACTACTGTATATGAAATGGCATAGGCTTTCCTGCTGGTGGGCTGTGGATGAGAAAACAGCATGGGACAACAAACGGAAATAGAAAAGAATAAATCAAGTTGTGGAATATAATTAGACCTGTCTCACTATAGACAGAGCTTTATAACAGAAAGGAGTGGGTTATAGATGTTGATTGGGAATAATAAAATTGATTGGGAATATTATGGATGGTTCCAAAATGCTCATAAGAGGAGTTTATTTTCTTGATCTATAGAGAAAGAAGTGTCATATTTTGCATTTTGAGCTGGTGGCAGTGAAGAATAAAGGGGGAAGCAGACTGTCTCTGGAGAGAGAAGTTAGAAAATGAAGTGACCAGGTAACGCAGCTGGATGCCTGGCTGGACGTGGGGTCCGCAGGGAGACAGTTCAGTGTGCTCAGGTTACACTCGGCCCCAACACACTTGCTCATAGCTACTGTTTCCTTCCTTCACACAGCATCAAATTGTTGCTCTAGTTTAAAGTTTTATCCATCTTTCTGCTTTCTCAAAAATGACTTCAGGGATGTTGAGGAATTTTTCAAGTATCCGCAACGTGAAGTCATTTTTTGTCTTCTTTGGTACCATCTTGTTTTATATTGAATAGTTTGGCATCAGCTTGGAAAAGCCCTGCACATCTAATCCTCTGGCCCATTAGACTTTGTGTCCCCTCTGCAAGTTATTCCTGTCGGGCGTTTGCAACTCTCAAGTGCTGGGGACTGGGATGGTTGCCTGCTGGTCCAGAACTTGTGTGTGTCACAGAAGAAGTCCTCTTCTGGGGAAAAGGTGCTGTCATTGACAGAAAGAGGCAGTAAGACGCATTACCTGGGTGGAGGAGCATGTGTCAGAGGTCCCCAAGAGCACTCCAGGTTCAGTGGTTCATTGGTGGGACTCAGCATGTAGTAGTGCTCACATTTGTGACTTATTACAGCCCAAGGTCATAAGGCAATGTCAGCAAAGAGACAGGTGCGAGGGTGGGGGAGAAGGGGGGAGTTTGGAAAAAGCCAGGCACAAGCTTCCCAGGGATTTTGCCCAGTGGAGTCCTCAGGAGGTATTGAATTCCTCTAGCCGTGAGCTGCGAACCCCAGGTGAAACATCTACCAGTCTCGTTACAGACTCGGTGCCCAGGGTTTTAATGAGACCTGTTCACATAAACACGCTCTGCATAGCACAGACCAAAATTCCAGACTCCCAGCAGGAAAGTGGGTGTTCAGCTGACCCCTTAGCACAACAGTTTAGGCCCAGCATGCCACTCTAAACTATTCTAGGAATTGGGGAAACCCTTCTGATATCCAGGTTTCCCAACCTTGCAAACAGCCCTTCTAAGGTTAGGAGTCTCAGGATTACTGTATTGACTCTTTTCTACACAAAGAGTGACGATATGATCACTTCAGTTGTTGAGAAGGGGATGTCGATGGAAAAACTTGTTTAAATCCAAGAGAGTTGATATTAAAAAGTCATGTTTATGAAAGTGCTATTTGCAGGTGGGGCAAAAGTGAAGGATGAGAAGTGGAATCTTAAGGTAAAGGTGACTGAACCCATCCTGGGCTAGTGTCCACATGCAGGAGACTGGGGAGGTAGAAGGAGACTTAGGATGGTGTCTCAGGGAACCAAGAGAAGAGAAAGGGTTATAAAGGAGGGAATGCTCAAGGGTGTGTCAAGTGAACAGGCAGAATTATAGGTACTGCCAGATGCCCTTGAGGCATCATTCTATGGCCTGTAAGTTGACTTTAACTTAAAAGTATCCATACACATGAAGCAGGACTTATTTGGCCAGTGTCTGGAATAACTTTCCAGTCCATCACATCTTTCTCTTTTCCTCTGACCACCTTACTGAAGCCCTATTTAGTTTTTTGTTACTGCTCTTTGTTTGGGTTTAGATTTCACAGGCAGTGAGAAAATGACTGTACAGTGGGGGAAAAAATTTCTTTGAACATTACTGCCAACTTCTCTTTGGTAATTATTTAAAGACAGCAGCAACTAAAACCACCTCTCTGGTTCCTGATGGAAGAGTCATTCTGTTTGTTCATTTAAGAAGGTTGTTTCTTCTATTCCATCAATCTCATCAGTGCTTGTTGATGAGGAATAAAAACTAAAAGCTGCTTGTCTTATGAGCAGACATCCCAAGAGGATGATGAAAGTGTTTGAATTTCCTACTCTACCCTTGGACTTCCCCCAGACCCTGACTTCTGGGTACTGTCTCTCTGATATTTCACTTCTGTTTTTCTGAGTTCTCGGACACAAAAGGCATATAAAGTCTCTGAGATGCTTGACCATTATGACATTGGATCAGGGAACCAGTAGTGACTTTTCCTTTTCTTGTGACGAAATTAGATCAGAAATATTTTTCAAGCTCTTTTTTTGTGTGTGGCTGATTTGGAGAAGTTAGTGGTGTAGGAAATGCCAGGGCCTCCTCCTTCTCACACTCTGGGTGGTTCAGAAATAGAAACTCTTTGCATGGCAGAAGGTGGAGAGCACAGTGATGATGGTGACACTTGTCGTCCTGGTTACTATAGTAATGGTGACAGTTCTGGCCTTATTTACTTCATTGAACTTCAGGAGGGCAGATGTGTGCTGTGATTTTAGGTGGTTTTAAATTCTGTGTCTTTTGTCCTAATATCCCAGGGCTTCCAGCAAAAGTTCTCCTTCCACAGTAAAGAGATCGTGGCCATCAGCTGTTCCTGGTGCAAGCAGGCGGTAAGTTTGGGATGAGATACAGCAACGTGGGCTCACGCGACCAAAATACACTGTCGGTGCCTGAGTTCCTGTCCACCAGGGGAACAGGAGCCTGACAGAACATACTACTTTTCCAGATAGAATCCTTGAAGGAAGAAAGACAGCAAAACTATAGAACAACTGTACAGATGAGCTGAGAGAAACTACAGAAATTCATTTACCCCTTTCTTTTGTACATGTTGAGAAGCCTAGGACCAAAGACTGGGGGGGTCTTCCCATGGTTCCAGTCCTGGGGCTGGAACAGAGGGCTTCTCACTCCTGGACCACATTTCTTTCCTTTCCATTAGATTCTGAGAACTCCTCCTGGTAGGCAGGTTCAGCATTGGGAACAGAGCAGTGGTCAACAGGAGAGACCCTCTAATGCAGATGTCCAGGCATGTTCCTCCAATTTTGACATGGGTGACTTTTTTTTTTTTTTGTGGCACTCAGTGTGCAAATCTCCTGTGTCCTTCTTCAGGTTTCTTTAGATTGGGATGATGCCATCTGTATGCTCATTGAAATGTAGCTCTTCCTTACATTTGCACATGTATATACATTAGGGTCCCATGGTCATTTTCCCATTTTTGTTTCTCCTTTTCTATCTCCCTTTGTCCCCTCGATTTTTTTAAAGCACCTCACTTCTCTCTCCAATGCTACATTTTCATACTCGTCGGCCAGTGTGCCTGTTGTTTCTGTTACTCTTACTTGGGATTTGGCAAACTGCAGCCCCCAGGGCTAAATATGGCCAACACCTATTTTTATAAATAAGAAATTTTATCAAAACATAGCCATGTTACTTATCAAATCAAAACACAGTTACTTATTGACTCTCTGTCCCTGTTTTTTGCATTTATGTATCACCTATGGCTACTTTCAGGCTGCAGTGGGTGCATTGAGCTCCCTGACCTGGTGAGACCCTGTTGGTGAGATGCATCATGGGCAGCTGGGCTCAGAAGGCTGCCTCTGCACCACCATGTTGCTACCAGGATAGGGTCAGATGGTCTGTCAGGGTCAATTTGGAAATGCAATCCCACTTTCCAATGAACATGTGTGCTCTCTAATCTGTAGTCCAACTGAGTTAATACAGAGACTGAACTTTCATTTGACCGTTAAGGCAGACCTTTGGTTGATTCCACATGAATCTGAATTTCCCCCTTCCTCACATGGTAGAAGGTGGTTTTTCAAGTATTATAAATAAAAAATTTTCACACATATTATAAACATGATGTATTTTAACAGTATAGGTAAACAAGTGAATCTCTATGGTACACAAGAATGGACCCTGGATTTGGTAGCTGAGTTTCCTTCATTGAGATCCTGGTTCCACCATTTAAAAGCTGTGTGATCTTGAATTTGCCTGTTAGTCACTAGATTGGAGATTACTCAAATACAAATTGAAAGAGTTCACTTTGTCAGTCTCTGAGACCCACACCATTGTAGATAGATAATGAAAATTTTAGACACACAATTAAAACATTTTTTTTTGAAAGAAGGCATTCAAATATCATTCCTCTGGATAATTTAATCTTTTGCAAAATGCAAATAACTAGTGGCAAGGAAAATTATTAAGTATTTTATCCTTAACTGACCAATTAGTAATTAGCTACTGGATCACAGCAGATCTTAAAGATACGCAAACATGAAAAAGTATTATTAAAATTACAGTGGCTCTATTTGCTAGTTTTCCTGAGTCCTGATTTATGTCTGTTTTTCTCACATAGTTATTATCAGTGATCCCCTTCACTTTTAAATTGTTCCAGCTAAAATGATAAATTATATGATCACAATAAATATAAACCAAGTCGAAACTGACATGAAGTTCGAAGAAATCACTATAATTAAAATCTGAGACCCCCTAATTATTGCATAATGTTGATTTTATGTTTGTTAGAAGATAAATGTTACTGCACGTTGCTATCACTCTAGTCAAAAGATGATTGCAAGTGTGAATGGCCCCTGGCCATCAGTCCCAGCCTCAAGCTGGGGTACCCAGTTAAGCCCCTCACACTGAGGTGCTGTCATGATTATTAATCTGCAGTTGCTTCCTTTCTTCCTTTCAAAACCAAAAAGCACTTTAGGCTTGCCAAGTGTATTAGGGCACTGTGTTTTTTAAAGGCTGTTGAGGAATGGAGCAGAGGCACTCTCTTTTTAAAAACATTTTTTTAAAAAACATTTTTATTAGTTGTTGATGAATTTTTAAATTTTATTTATTTATTGGTATGTGGTGCTGATAATCGAGCCCAGTGCCCCACACGTCCTATGCAAGCCCTCTACCACTGAGCCACAACCCCAGCCCAGGCACTCTCTTTATACTTTGTTACCTCTGGGTCTCATAACTTTCTAGAGGGGACATCCTGCCTCTCTCCTGGCTTCTCTAACTGGAGAGAGAATCTGGGGGGATTGCTGTCTCTGATGGAAAAAGGAGAGGCAGAGAGAGGGCAGGCCTTGCCTTTTAGCTGCCTTCATTTCCTTCTCCACGTTATTCTTACTCAACCAAGTATGTGACGAGCACCAGGGAAGAAACACAACTGTGTGCAGTCGGGATTACTAGAACCTTCCACGTTTCTAACATCATTATGAACAGATTTCATTAAATGGTTAGGAAGTTTTTGCAGGCCTTGTTCTGCCATGTTGATTTCTCCTTAATAATTGTGGTAAAGTCTGTACTGGCAGAATAGAAAGCTGGTCTCTAAGCTCCTGGGGCTGGTTGGGTGGTGTTGAGAAGGAAGTGCCCTTTGTGTGTGTGTGTGAGTGTGTGTGTGTGTGTGTGTGCGCGCCTCTGTGAGTGTTGGGGGGGTGGATGTGCATGCATGGTGTGTGTGCACGCACTTACTCCTTCTTACTGTGACATTACCTTTTGCCTAGAATTGCTTATTAGCCCATTTTTCTCTTCAGTTTCACAATAAGGTGACCTGTTTCATGCTGCATCACATTGAGGAACCCTGCTCCCTGGGGGCTCATGCTGCCGTTATAGTCCCGCCCACCTGGATCATTAAGGTGAAGAAACCTCAGGTAACTGCCAGGACCCTGGTGCTGCAAACCCAGTGCAGAGAAAAATGAATTGCTGCTCCTTGCTTTTCTCCCCCTGACTATTCTCTGGGTTACTGAGACCTCTGCTCAGTCATCCCCAAGGTCCCGTGCTTAAGCTACTAAATTCATCCCGTTGCCCAGCACTTGACTGCACTGGGCTCCCTCATGGAATCAGCCTAATCAAATCAAAGTTCTAGAGCAAGGGTGCTTCCTCCCCATTCATTTGCTCAGGATAGTCTCTTTGGTGGTAGTTGTCCTGAGTTTCAGGGAGGTCCAGTGATGGGTAGAGCTGGTTTTCATACAACTCTCTTCTCTTCCAGCCTGGGAATTTCCAGGGAGTCAGTTGAGGGCAGACTGAGTTGTGACCCTCCTGCATACACAAGGCCTGCTCAGAGAGCAACAGCCCTTTCTTAAGGCAAAGTGGAATTTATCCTCTTAGTTCCTAATCCTGTCCTGTATTCTTCTCTGTGTGCTTCCTGTCCTAGCGAGCCTCAGCTTCGTTATTTTGGAGACTGTGATGGTCTCTTGACTAGGTCATATTCTTCGATTGAACATGTTTCTTCCTTCATACCCTGCATCCTGGACAGTGAGCTCCAACTTACAGAATGGAAAAATTTTCATGCAACAGGGAGAGAGATCTTATCAACCTCCCCCAGGGCATATAGGTGTTTAGGAAGTTTCATTGAATTTACTGCATTTAAAAGATGGTAGACCAGTTCCTGTGGTCTCTCCTGCAATTTATTCTCATCAACTCAGTTGTGTTTAAGAGCTAGCAGCTGAGGGATATGGTTTTGCTTTGTGTGTTTCATTTTAAATTTAGCCTCTATTCATGAGTATTGTTTATAAATGATCTAAGTTAGAATCCATGGGAGCATTTGGGAACCTTTTTTCCAGAAACAAGTACAGTATTGTCTGCTAAAAAGTGGGAACTCTGTATAATCTTTCATTTTACTTGTTAGTATCCACTGCCAAGATGTGTTTGATGAGTGGCCTAAGGTGACACAGTGAACTCTACATGTGTATTGCTGTCTGAAATTAAAATGTACCGAGTTCCAATTTTTACTTTTGAATCTCTTTAACATTTCTACTTACTTTTTTATTTCTCTCTATAATTTAGTAATCTCTCCAGGGCTTTACATTATATATTCATTCTGTTAAATCAAAACTTAGGTTGTGTCAGAAGATCTGGTAGACTCTGTGCTATAACATACAGTCCTCGCTCAGAAGAGACTCAGAGTTACCTTAAGGAAAGGTTGGAGGAGTTTCATGAGGAGGTGGGTTTTAATCTGCTTTTTGAAAGATGGGTGGGACTTAGATCAGTGGAGAAGAGAAAGAGAAGCAGGTAGGAGTTTACCAGAACAAGGGCACCTTGTCCAGCATTGCATTTGTGGGACTATGAAATGAGTCGCCCTGAAGTGCGCAGTGAGGGAGAAGGTGTGTGGAGTGAGCAGAAGGTTGCGCTGGACTGACAGAGAGGGATCTGGAGACATGTGGACTTTATCCTGAAGTAACTGGCTTCTTCATCAGCAAAGGAATGACAGTGTCAAAATATTCTCGTAGAAGGAAAAGCTAGCAAGAGTGTGTAGGATGCCTTAGTGTTATGGGATTTCGAAGAACTAGAAATAGAACAGTTAGGAAAATCAGATGATGATTCCACTCTGCAGAGAAATGGTATTCTTTTCTCACCTCTAAAAGCACCTTTGTGTTATGGAAATTTTCAAGCCAATGAAGAAAGAGAAAATCGTAATGGGTTCTTCCCTAGCCATCGGATTTTCTGCCATTCTTGTTTCAGCTATTCTTGGCGCTGCCAGATTATTTTCTTTCATTGAATTATTAATTTTGAGATTCATAAGAAACTGGAAGAAATAATACAGATCAATTTCTTGCACCCTTGACCAATTTTCTGGTAATGTCTTGCAGTACAGCATCACCCCAGGCTTTCGACCTTGACAGCCCATCAGCAGAGACCCCTGTACCTGCTCCCAGCCACCTCCATTCTTCTCCTGGCCTCACCCCTCTGCCCCACCTTCTTGAGGTGGAATATACCCCACTGTTTTTCTTTCAGTTTCATCTGTTAATGTCTCCTTTTGCTTCTTTAAAATATAACATTTAAAAAAATAATGACATACCTTTGTCTCACGCATCAAAATTAGTAATTCCTTAATTACTTTTTTTTTTTGCTTGTCTCAACTATTTTTTTTCAACAGTTACGTTTTTTAAATCATAACTCAAAGTCCTGCACTGCCTTTTGTGGACAGAGACCTTAGGTGTCTTTTAAATTTGTAACAATATCCTCTCATATTTTTTCATGCTGTTTATTTGTTGAATAAACTGGGTCTTTTTTTCCTGTGGGATTTCCCATATCTTGATTTTAACTGCTTGTATCCTTACTTTGTTTTAAACAATTTTCCTTACTGCTTATATTTTGTATAAATTAATATTGAGATATAGGAACTCATTTATATTTGGGGTTAACTTTTGGGGAGAAGGGCTGCATTGGTGGTGCTGTGTATTTATATTGTATTTCTAACAAAGGAACATAACATCAAATTGTTTCAGTATTATTAATGTCATGATCAATGGGCTTGGAAACTATCATCCTAATCCATTTACTATAGCCTTTTACTATTGTATTATCCCCTAAAGATCATCTTCAAAATCTATTATTTCATTAGTGATTGCCAAAATGTGGTTTTCCAATTTTTTACTCTTTTTCACAACTTAGCTATAATTTTTCTTCCCCTATCACCAACAAATAGGAGAAAAATATTTGAGTATTTAACTTTATTAATAAATTTTCAGAGTAATAAGTTAAGGCCCTAGTAACTTTTAAAGGTGATTAATGCCCTAGTAACTTTTTAAGAATCACTGTGGTCATCTTTGCAGAGCATCATTATGGATTCACCTCATTCTTATGTATGTGAATATACAGGCATGTGTGTGCATGTATATTCACACACATGCACACACACACTCAATATGCCTCAGACTATAGTCCTCATTATTATTCCTACATTCACACTGCTTTGTGAATTGGAACCCTTCCAGGTGGCTCCTGCCTACTGTCATGGCCAGTAAAGTTTTGGACAGCTTCTTTGGTTTCAGGAATGCTAGGATATATTTCCTGTCCATATCTGGAATTAGCAATGTGGCTACTAGGTAGCTCAAGTTGTGTTTGAACCCAGCAATTTTGATTCTTGAAATCAAGTTCTTAGTGAGAGGCCACACTGCCTCACTGTCTGACTATAGTCAGCTTTGTTAAATTGGGTGTCTAAAATTTTTGATGATCTCTCTTTCTATGGGCTCCAAAGCCACCAAGTAAGTTAATTAATGAGCTAAATTCTGTTGAAAAGCTGGTTCAGGATGAGTCTGGGGACAGCACAGTAATGTTTAAGAACTGTGGCTTTGGAACTTGGACTCCTTGAATCCTTAACCTTACCATTTACTGATTTATGCAATATTGAACTATTTAAACTCTTCCATTTCATTTTCCCTTCTTCACAGTGTAAATGATACTAGTACCTAATTCACAGGGTTTTAATGAAGATTAATCAGCTAACAGATGCACATAGAACAGCTCATGGCTCATTGTAAGTAACAGAGCTCTCTTTCGTGATCTTTCTTCTTGTTGACTTTAAGGAGTACAGAGTATCAAAGTGGAGACATACCACAACAGTCGAAAATATTGGACAGTTACACATAGGTCAGGACAGAAGTTATTGAAGGATGAAAAGAGGAGGCAATTTCTAATGGACGGGTGTGAAGAATGAACAGTAAGGGATGTAGCCAGGCATCTGCTCTGCTCCCAGAGCACCTTGTGGCATTGTAACTGTTGTATTTTACCATGTGGTGGGATTGTTTGTTCACTGGCTTGTTGCCTCTGCTATGGAAGAGAGTCAATACCCATTCATTCAATACTCATGAATAAAAGAATAGACGAAGACTAGGGGATTGCCCACCTATAGGAAGTAGAAGAAGAGGATCCTGCAAACTAGGAGAGAGCTAAGGAAACATGGTTCCATTATTAAAAATGGAAAGAAAATAGGGTGGCCATCAATGTTGAATTCCATAGATATTAAAAATAATAACAGGAATTGAGAAAAGTTTTTAGGTTGGTGGTTAGATCATGGGTAACAATAAAAACTGTAGTTTGTAGAGTGTGTAGCATGGGTGCCAAGTTGTTCCTGATGATTCGGAGGCAGTAATATCAGATAATTCATTTGAGACATTGGCAAGTGTATTTAAAAAGAGAATTTGGAAAGTAGATGGAGAACAGCAGAGTAAAATCTTTTTCCAACATTAATTTTATATCTACATTTTTCTACATATCTACATCAGTGTATTTTTCATTCTTTTATCATACTGGTTTAAAAATAAATGACAAAATGTGTATTCTTTATTGGATTAAGTAAACAGTTATTTAATTAGCCACATTCAAAGATGCCATTATGTGTATTATGAGGTCTAAAGATGAATCAGATGGGATCTGTTTCCACAAAAAAGAATGCATACTCCATAGGGGTAACATAGATATATCCATCTAAATCATTGGACAGAGTATTTGTGAATTCTGGAAGAGGCACTCAACAATATGAGTATCCTTAAGGAAACAGCATCCTCCTGCTATTTTTAGAAGAGTGACTTTTTTGGTTAATGTGTACTTTTGGGAAAGATTCACATAGGGTGGGGAGCACAACAGGCTAGAAAGGTTGGTTCAGCCATGGTCAGGAAGGAGTTGTACATCCAAGGTTGAGAGTGGTAAGTTTTACCTGAGATATAGAAACACAGTAGAATTATTAGGCAGGAGTGAGCACTTTCAGTTGTTGGGATCAAGGTAAGCTAAATGGAAATCACCACAGTGCTTGGTCTTAAAGGATGTGGGTGGTATGGTTTGGGGAAGAGAGACAAAGAAGTTCAACACAAGTGGATACAACATACTGAGAATTGTTAAGATGGATCATCAAATAAAGCCAGCTGTATTT